TAAATTTTCGAGTAGGGACAGCAAATGGCGTCTGGAGAACACCGTAGGCATCAAGAAAAAAGTTTTGGACTTCGGGCTAGGTTAGCAGAGATGTCTGAAGAATTTTGGGTGCTTTTCGTGCTGTTTTGGGATACTTCTCGTGGCAGAGAGGGTCAAATTATTCTGTTTATGTTCGCGTGTGGGGGACAAAATTGAAAGCGGGGGCTGGGTGTTCGCCCCCAAAAAGGGGCAATGTATAATAAACAAAGCGTAATACTTGAGAAATAAATAAATTAATTTCTCTCTCTCTCTCGCTCGCTCGGTCTCTCTCTCTCTCTTTCTCTCTCGCAGCTCTCTTGTTTGTATCGAAATATTCAAAATACATACCAAAATCCAAGCTCCAAACTACGAACATGTACTCTGCACTTTGTGCCCAAATTTTCGCCTTTCCGTTCCCGGAATCCTCAAATAACCCCTACTGCTACTACTACTGACTGGCCACTCGAAATTGGACGTCCATCAAGGCCATTTCGAGCCCCGGCTACTCCCAGTACGTTCGACGACAATTTACGCGGGGTTATTAAGCCCCAAAAAATTGACTTGGGTTCAACAATCAGGCGCTAAATTCTTGGAAATGATAAAATCGTGCGTTTATGCGTAATAGATAATTTGGCTGCTGCTCAGTCCCCTTAAAAATGCATAGAATCGTCCTGGCAATAGCCCTTTAAAAGCCCATCTTTTCGAAGGTTTTGCTTGACGTTAAACCGCTAACAAAAATAATTTATTTAAATTAAGACTCTTTATTAGATTTTAAAAATCTCTAAGTTTTGAAGGCAACACTTTTGCCTGCTCTGTCCTTTAAAATCTACAAAAATCCGGCAGAATATTCATAATTTTACAGATTTTTTCGGATCCCTAAATTTAAGAAGCGCTTTAAAAAACTTAAAATCTCAATTTAAATATCTTATTTCAATTTTCGATGCCCTGCAATTTTCATAATCCACAGCTTTTTGCTTTGCCAGTCCCTTTAAAACCCGAAAACCACGCCGATTTTCGATGTCTAAGGCATAAATAATGAGCTTAAAGGTTTCTTCAGAATCTAGAGACCTAAAAAAATTGGGTTAATCAGTGTAGTAGGCTATCGAGGGCCCGTAGGAATCCGTAGCTACACCCCCACCCCCATCCACCGGGTTTTCATGGGGATTAGGGCATCTCCTTTCCGGCGGCTTTTCACGTATTTTCATCGGCATCCATAAAATGGAAAATGTCACGTCGTCTCTCTCTCTCTCTATCTCTTTCTCTATCTCTTTCTCTCGCCTTATGGCTATTTTTGAGAACAATAAAGCACAGACACGTATTTTGCGGTGCGCATTTCTGAAAATTTCTTTTCCTCAATGATCTCTGCTATCCCGCCCGCCACTCCCAAATGATCTCGGCTAGCCTACCGTCCGTTCCCAAGCTTCGCAAGCTTGCATTGCTCTGATTTGTTTGATTTCCTCAAGGATCTTTGCTAGCTTGCCTTGACCCGTAGTAAAAAGTATGGGCAAGCTAGCGGAAATCATCACGGAATAGCGAGAGCGAGAGAGAGAGAGAGAGAGAGAGAGAGAGAAAATGAGCAGGCTGCAGAGATTCTTCAAGGAACCCATAGCCATTAGAAAATTAGGCAAGTTCCAGAAAATTCCACAATCCCGGAGCCATTTCAAGGGCATCCCCGGGCAAAAAAATTCCAGGCAGACGAACCCCTTTGCCCCTGCTCTTCCATGATTGACTAGAAAAAGACAACAAGATGAGGCTTTTCGTTGGCGGGTCCACATCCTGCTTCACTCTCGCTCTCTCTCTCTCTCTCTCTCTCTCTCTCTCTCTCTCTCTCGCTCTCTCTCTCTCTTTCTCTCGCCGAGATTTCGGCGGGTAATCACATTTGGGGCCTCCCTTTCAGTCTTCGCCCTCCCCTTTTCGTCAAGATGGGCAAGGCTTGCCATTTTTTAGCTTCTTCTTTCGCAAGCTACTGTATCTGACCCTAATTTCATTTGTTGAGGCCGAGGGTTGAAGCCTGACCTTAGAAAAATCAGAGACCGTATTCCAGTCACTGCCGTTTCCACAGGTTCCTAAAGAATCACTGATGGCCTGCCCTTTCCTAAAGAATCTCGGCTAGCCTGCCTTTCCTAAGGAATCCCTGCTAGCCTGCCCTTTCCTAAAGAATCTCTGCTAGCCTGCCCTTTCCTAAAGAATCTCTGCTAGCCTGCCCTTTCCTAAAGAATCTCTGCTAGCCTGACCTTTCCTAAAGAATCTCTGCTAGCCTGCCCTTTCCTAAAGAATCTCTGCTAGCCTGCCCTAGGAGGAAGCAAATTTACTCCAAAAAAATTTACCGAGAAAGGAGAAGCTCGTCGGCTTGACCACAGTCTCGAACAAAAAGCCCATGTTAGCGCCTCTCTCGCCTCTTTAGGCTTCTTCTTTTAGTGACTCGCCGGGACCGGGGGCCCTTCTGTCGGCAAGACTAACAAACCCAATTTATCCCCCTTCCCCAGGGCTTTTCCCAGCTTCTTCTTTCGACGGGATCCGCTGCGAAAAGCCCAAGGGTTCAATCCCACCCGTCCGTTTTTGTGCCGGCAATTTTTTGGGGGTGGCTCCACCGGAAATTGGCACGATTTAGAGGGGGTAGGATTTGCAGGGGGCGTCTAGGGCAGGTGGAAGCATGGTGGAAAACGGCCTAATCCAGGGTTAAGCCTAAATCTAAGCCTAAGCCAAGGCTAAGCCAAGCCTAAGCCTAAGCCTAAGCCTAAGCCTAAACCGATGCCTAAAACCTACGCCCAAGCCCAATTCTAAGCCCAACCTGAGCCTAAGCCTTCCGTCCCCCATTCTCCGACTTTCCCGTCCCCTTAAAAAATCCACTCTGACGCACGGACTCACCCTAACCCCTAAAAAGTGACAACTTTCAGCGTTCACTTTTTTATTCGAGGCGATGCCGGGCTCATTTTTTGGGGATTTTCCCGGGTCACGGATGGGTCCCAGTGATAAGGGCCATCCTTAGGGCCCGGTGGGCCCTAAGGTTGGGCCCCAGCGTGACAGCTGTTCGGTTTTCCGACAAAGACATACACACCCTCAGGTGCCCTCCTTTTGCCCCGAGGTTTATGACTCCATTTCGGCCGCACCACACACTCGCCACGCATTCTTTGGGTTGCGAATGGCGCCTGGAAACCACTTCCTGCTTTCGAGATTTAAGGTCCTGATTTTTTAAAGGGATTTGTAAGGCAGAATCCGACGGTTGCGAGACGCGCAAAATGCTGTTGCTTGTCGAGACCTAGTCGCGTGTCAGGGTCGATTCCAAGCTTGGTTGGTTTAAAAATCCACTTTTGCGTTAAAGATTGCCTCTGTTAATTTTTAAAGGCACTTGGAAGGCAGAATTCGACGCCTGTCCTTTTCAGGCCTAACGGTAGAATTCGAAACGTAGCGCGTTTGACTAGCCAATTTTCTAGCATGGAAAATGCCTTAATACGCGCCCTGTTCCTTATAAACGTGATTATTACAAATTTTCGTAACGTAATTATCGTATCTACGCACTTTTCTCCTTCTAAAACACCTGCCCCTTTGAATCGTAGTGCGTGGTACGGATTGGTGAATCGGCTTCATTAGTACCACAATATTTTGGCAAATTGTAAATTTTTAAGGCTGAATACCTGTTAAACAGTCCAATAAAAATGTTTTAGCATTGTTTGAAAATTAAAGCAATCAATACAAAGTTTCTTTTTGTCCTTGTTTGATCAATCTAACCGGCTACGGTAGTTTTTGCAGATTTCTGGGCAAAATCTGAGGATTATCTCCTTCGCTTTGTGAAAGCAGCAATTCTTGGCACTGACCAGGGGAAATTGCAATCTAAAAATAGCCCCCTTCTAATCTATCGAAAAGTGCCCGGGCGCGCGTTTTTGATACATTTGGGCAAATATTTGCCGGGTGGGTTGTGGGGCTTTTCGACCCTTTGGCACCGCGACAGTCGCTCGTTTTTTTGACAGTTATTCCGCGTTTTTTTTTGCTAATTGTCCATGTTGCCATCCCCTTCGCCCCTTCTGTTGCCATCCCTTTAATACTGTAAATTTGGAATTTCGAAACTCTAAAGGGATATGGAAGTCAAATATGTATCTTCTTCGATCGTCTAGTCTTCTAGAACGTTTAAAAAATGCTCAATTTCTCGTGCCCCTTCGAATCCGCCATCTTCGAGTCCGAAGGCCAAACAATATAGATGCTAATTGCAAAATGTGCACTTTTTCGGGAGGATTATGGCGGAGAGTGTGATAGAGAGAAACAAAGAGAGAGAGAGAGAGAGAGACAGACAGAGACATAGAATGAGAGAGGGCGAGAGAGCGAGAGATCTATACCGAGATTTATGGAGAGAGACATAGTTAGAGGCGAGAGATAGATAGCGATAAACAGACGGAGAGAGAGAGAGAGCGGCAGAAACGTGGTCACTCGTTCATCAATCCCTCCCACTTTTAACTTTAAAACTTCCGGGCCAGCTGTCCCTAGCTTGATGCCGTGCGTTATTTTTGCATCTTTTGCCCCCTGGAGGCACTGCCTGGGGTTGAAGGGTCAACAAAAAGTGCATCGTCACCCCAATGAGGAATCTTCGGGCCCTCCGGGCGATTGCGCTTATTGTAGCCACTTGGTGGGCGTCCCCGCGTGAAGCCAATCTGGTGGGGGGAAGCTCTTATAAGCGGCGCTTCCGTTTACGCTTTCCCAAACGTTCTCTGCTAGCCTGCCCTTTCCTAAATATTCTCTGCTTGCCTTCCTTGAATTTAGATCATAAGTTTTTCTAATTGCTCTAAACAGCTAATTCATGACAGTGCTTGTTTAATTTCCACCTGTCTTGCCGAGTTTTTTGGAAAACCACTGCAAAAATTTTTAGGAAGTTCAAAAATCTTCCACTTTACTAAATTGTTCCGCTTTTTTGGTTTTTCTAACTTTTCGTGCCGGATTTAGTAAGAGTTTAACCGATTACGCAACTTATATCTAATTGTTTCTTTACAGATATGGAACAGAATGTGACCCTCCTCGGGCCGGATGGGGACTACAACAACACGGATGAGGAGCGCAACTTTTCGAGAGCCCCGAGCTGCTCAGTATTAGAACGTACGTTACACTCCTCCTTACATAGGTGTACATCGTAAGTTTAGGATTTGCCAGAATATTATCCCGGTTTTTTGCGTGTTCGGGATGGCGGGCAACTCGATGGCGTTGATGTTGATACGGTAGGTCTTTCAAGCAGCCTAAGCCAAGCCTAAGCCAAGCCTAAGCCAAGCCTAAGCCAAGCCTAAGCCAAGCCTAGGCCAAGCTTAAGCCAAGCCGAAGCCAAGTCTAAGCCAAGTCTAAGCCAAGTCTAAGCCAAGCCTAAGCCACCTAAGCCAAGACTGGGCCAAGCCTAAGCCAAGCCAAGCCCAAACTTCAACAACTCTCCAATTTCCAGAACCAACTTCTGGCTCCGTCGGCTCACGTCAAATGCGTATCTTTCAACGCTCTCCATCTCCTCGTGTCTCTTTCTTTTCACCGTGTTCGTGACGTGGGCCGACTCGAAGTACAGCGTGCCGTTGTATAATAAATCGGAGATCGGGTGCAAGGTGAGAACAAATGGTCTCTGCTAGCCTACCCTTCTTTCCGCAATTGTCTCTGCTAATCAACGTTCAACTCCTAAATGTTCTCGGCTATTTTAACTCTCCAAATCCTCCATTTTCTCTGCTAGTTAATCCCTCGGTTCCCAAATAAACTCTGCTAGCTACCTGTTGCAGTTCTTCACCTTCCTCGCCCATGCGTGCGACTTCATCTGCGTGTGGATGATCTCGTGGGTGTCGTGCGACCGGATGATTGTCTTATATCGGCCAGGTAAGCTATAAAAAACGTGATGTAACCGAGACCAAATTAAAAACTACCTAAAAACAACAAAATCGTGATTTTTAGGAATCCGGAAGTGGGTGTGCACAAAGAAATTTGCGAAGCGGATGGTCGTTTTCACGATTTTCATCTCGTTGTTGTTATATTCATGGTAAGGCATTTTTTGTAATTTCCTTAAATGGTCTCTGCTAGTTTCCCCCTAAACTTTTGTCAGCTAGCAGAGATTATTTGGGAATTAAGACCAATCTAGCAGAGACCATTTAAAAATTCCCCCAATTAGGTGCATCATGTCGGCCTCCCTGGAAATGGAGGACGGCACGGTGTTCTGCGGACTCGACCGTAATCAGACACTCTTCGGAAATACCATCGGAAATCTCTACTTTTCATTCACGATGATCGACACGGTCATCTGCACCGTGTTGCCGTCGATTCTGATCGTCGTCGTCAACTCGTTCGCCATCTACCGGTAAGTCGAAGTCTAAGCCTAAGCAAGCCAAGCCGATTTTCTCCAGGTATCGCCAATGCATGAAGATCTACTCATCGGGCGTGCTGCGCGTGCGCTTCTTGCGGACGCCGGACACGCAGAACAACAACGACTACGAAGGTTGGTGCTTAAAGTAGGAGGAGGTGCTGCTAAATGCTTTTTAACTAACTTTTTCTGCCTGTTAATCCCTAAATTCATACTTTAAAAGTGAAAAAATGACTGAAAGGTTATTAAAAAGTTATCAAAGCTATAAAAATTTTAAAATTATGATATAACAATTAAAGGCTCATAAAAATCATCGTTGATACCTCAAACTTCACCTCAAAAGCTCAATTTATGAATGGCACATTCATTTTGGGGGTAAACAAAAGCCAAAAGAACGCCAAAACCCACCTAGCAACTGTTCCTCACCAACTGATTGATTTCCCGGCCGATTTCAGAAACTACCGCCAAAAAGCTGCTGCTCTCGCAGGCGACGCCGACGATGAACACGCCATCTACTCAATCATCTCGAGGGACGGCTTGTGGAAAGATGAGGAGCAGCGATCTACAGTTGAGCCGAACGCTGCTCGTCGTCACGAGGTGCGAGATTTAGGGGATCGAAGAGATGACTGTTTTAAAAGTCTGAGAGGGTCTCCTCCTAAGCCGAAGCCTAAGCCTAAGCCCAAGCCTGCCTAAGCCAAGCCTAAGCCTAAGATAAGCCTAAGCCTACGTCGAAGTCGAAGCCTAAACACTGAAAGAGTCTTTCCTAGAGAGATAAGACGCTTTTCAAAAGTCTAAAAACATGCCGGAAACTCGAACTCTTAATAAAATTCATCTTGAAAAGGTATAGCGATCTCTAACAAATCAGAAAAGGCCTAATTCTACCTTTAAAAAGCGTGTGCGCAGTTTTTGGGCTTAAAATTAGGCAAAAATTCCGCTAACGATACTCATAACCTCATCCTGCGCTTTTTAAGACCTTTGTAAGCGTTAAAGTATAGAAGAACTAACTATTGCTCCTATTAACTACTACTTTCTATTCTATAAACCCTTTTCAGCACGTTTGTGCTGCTGAACGTGCCGAACTACGCGCTGCGGCTCTACCAGGAGATCTTCACCACGGACCCGCTGTTCCACACCGTCTACTTTGTCAGCTATCTGCTTTACTATTTCCACCACGCCGTCCTGTTCTACTTTTACATTTTCTGGAGGTAGGGAAGATTTATCTACTAAAATCTAGAATACGAAACGCTTAAATTCATACGAAATCCATTAAAAGAAACGCTAGAAAAGCTTTACTCATCAAAATCTAGATCAGAAAAACTCTAGTCCATAAAATCTGCTATAATAATGATCAAAAAAACAACCTTTCAGCCCACAAATGAAGAAGCAGCTGAAGCCGGCGGCGATGCGGCTCCTCGAGTGCTACTGCTTCAAGACCGTCCCCGAGTTCGGCCACCACTCGACGTCGCTGAACCAGTTCAATAGGAATTAAGAAGAAGCGACATTCATGTGTGCCTTTCACCCCCCCTGTGTACTCAATGTTGTAATCTAACCGACGGGTAAACTGATCTATCGAGCATTCTCTCTTGTTCTCAGCGCCTTGCCAAAGATAAAGATTTTCGCGTATGTGAAATGCCTGCAAATCGTAATACAATCGTGTCTGCAGTACAAACCTTAATAGCCAGTTTTATTCAAAGAAATTCAACGGATAGGGCAACTTGAAAGAGGGGACAGTGGCCTGCTTGGGGGCCGGGCATGAACAACGAACGAGCCCTCAACGATAACGGGGGGCCGTAACAGTAAAATGGTGGGGCGGGAGGGACTAACAAAGATTTGATGGGGGTGTAGCCGGGGAAGAGGATAACAACGAGCAACAAATAACAAAAACGGTCTAGAATAGGTGTACTTATTTTTCGGAGGAACCGCGTCAAGGTGTGCGTGTTCACTCGTCGTCGGAGTCGTCGAACTTGACCGAGTTGACGCCCATCGGGATCGGGCCACCGCCGTAACTACCCTGGAAAAAAGAAGGTTCCTTTGAAAACTCAGAGAAATTTGTCAAAACCGATTCGTTAACGTCATAGTGAAATTCATTTCGAAGCAAATTATGGCCAACGCAATGCAAACGCATAATTTCATCATGTCGAAAAGTTTAGCAGTTTTTAGCCCTTTTTTATAGGACTGCGATTGTTTACTAGCTAATCGAATCGGAAAACCCCTACAAACCTTCTTCTTTTTCGTCTTCTCGTGACGGAATCCTTTGCCTTGTGTCTTGCTGAGCGTGGCGTGAGCTTTCTGGCCCCAGACGTCGTGGCTGCCGTCAAAAGCATTGTTGCGGAACTTCTCGGGCACGTCGTCCTTGGTCGTCTGCACACGGCGGAACGGCTCGTTGGATTTCCTCTGAAAATCACAATTTATTGCACCAACTCAGTTAACGACGTACCTTCATCGGCACTGATCGGCGATCGCCACCGCCATTGTGAGCGGGCGTCGATGTATCCATATCTTCATCCTCGACCTCGGCAGCCTTTTTCGTAGCGGGAGTCTGAAAAAATGATTGTAAATCGAGATCAGTTGACTGCGCAATACCTTAGCCTTCACGGGCTCATCGTCATCAGAATCCTCACTGGAAGACGCCTTGGCCTTCGGGGTAGGTTTGGCGACTGCTGGCTTGGCCGGCGTCTTCTTGGCGGCTTCATCATCCGACGAGTCTTCGCTGCTGGATGCAGGCTTCTTGGCCAAGGGAGTCTTCGGGTTAGCCGCTGCTTTGATTGGGGCTTTCTTGGCCGGGGCTTCATCCTCTGAGTCCGAATCATCCGATGACGACTGTTTTTTCTGGGTAGCGGGAGCCTGAAAAGAAAATATTATATATCAAATGGAAAATTAAAGCCTTACCTTGGCAGCAGCCGGCTTGGCCGGGTCTTCTTCGGGGCTTCGTCTTCGGAGGAATCTTCGCTGCTAGAAGCCGGCTTCTTGGTCACTGGAGTCTTGGCCGTGGCGACAGTTTTGGCAGGAGCCTTCTTTGCCGGGGCTTCATCATCCGAGGAGTCGTCACTGCTTGAGGCGGGCTTCTTCGTGACTGGAGTCTTGACGGCTGCAGCTGGCTTGACTGGAGTTTTCTTGGGGGCAGCGTCATCGTCAGACGAATCCTCAGAAGAGGACGCTTTGCCCTTGGCAGCGGCCGGCTGAAAAAAAATATTATAATTCTAGATTCAATGGCCATAATGCGCAAACAGCTTTTGCGCAAGAACCTTTCTCATCTGTAGTTTTGCAAGAAACTCACCTTTGTTGGGACGGGCTTAGCAGCTGCCTTCACAGGAGCCTCATCATCAGAAGAGTCATCGCTGTCCGAGGTGTCCTTCTTGGCAGCCGGAGCCTTGACAGGGACAGCCTTTGCAGGGACCTTCTTAGCCGGCGGCTCGTCCTCCGAATCAGAATCCTCAGAAGATGACGCCTTCTTGGCAGCGACAGGAGCCTAAAGACAAAGCTAGAGTCGCAAGAATATTTATCATACCTTTACCGGCACCGGTTTCGCGACGACTTTCTTGGGGGCCTCGTCCTCGGAATCGGAATCGTCGGACGACAGCTTCTTCTGGGCAGCCGGGGTAGTAATCTGCAAAAATAAATTCAATACTAGTCCGAAAAAGAAAGCATACGCGCTAAAACATCCAAATGATCTAAATAAATACCTTGGCGAGCGCTGGTTTGGCCGGCGTCTTCTTGGCGGCTTCATCATCCGACGAGTCCTCGCTGCTGGATGCAGGCTTCTTCGCCAAGGGAGTCTTGGGGGTAGCCGCTGCTTTGACTGGAGCTTTCTTGGCCGGGGCTTCATCCTCTGAGTCCGAATCATCCGATGACGACTGTTTTTTCTGGGTAGCGGGAGCCTGAAAAAAAATATTATCTATCAAATGGAAATCAAAGGCTTACCTTGGCAGCAGCCGGCTTGGCCGGGGTCTTCTTCGGGGCTTCGTCTTCGGAGGAATCTTCGCTGCTAGAAGCCGGCTTCTTGGTCACTGGAGTCTTGGCCGTGGCGACAGTTTTGGCAGGAGCCTTCTTTGCCGGGGCTTCATCATCCGAGGAGTCGTCACTGCTTGAGGCGGGCTTCTTCGCGACTGGAGTCTTGACGGCTGCGGCTGGCTTGACTGGAGTTTTCTTGGGGGCAGCGTCGTCGTCAGAAGAATCCTCAGAAGACGAAGATTTGCCCTTGGTAGCTGCCGGCTGAAATTTTTTTTTAATACTACATTGCGTTGCAGCAAGAATCAAAGGACCACGGCCGTTGCGCACATCGCTTTTGAAAAATTACGTGAAAAAAGGTTGAACTTTTAGTTAAGTCCCGTTTCTGTTGTGCATACATAGTTTTTCACGAAACTCGCCTTTGTCGGGAGGGGTTTAGCAGCAGAGGTCTTCACGGGAGCCTCATCATCAGAAGAGTCATCGCTGTCCGAGGTGTCCTTCTTGGCAGCCGGGGCCTTGACGGGGGCAGCCTTTGCAGGGACCTTCTTGGCCGGCGGCTCGTCTTCCGAATCAGAATCCTCAGAAGATGACGCCTTCTTGGCAGCGACAACAGCCTAAAGACAAAGCTAGAGTTGCAAGGATATTTATGATACCTTTACCGGCACCGGTTTCGCGACGACTTTCTTGGGGGCCTCGTCCTCGGAATCAGAATCGTCGGACGACAGCTTCTTCTGGGCGGCCGTGGTAGTAACCTGCAAAAATAAATTCAATACCAGTCCGAAAAAGAAAGCATACCTTGGCGAGCGCTGGCTTGGCTGGCGTCTTCTTGGCGGCTTCATCATCCGACGAGTCCTCACTGCTGGATGCAGGCTTCTTGGCCAAGGGAGTCTTGGGGGTAGCCGCTGCTTTGACTGGAGCTTTCTTGGCCGGGGCTTCATCCTCTGAGTCCGAATCATCCGATGACGACTGTTTTTTCTGGGTAGCGGGAGCCTGAAAATAAACTATATAGCAAATGAAAAATCAAAGCCTTACCTTGGCAGCCGCCGGCTTGGCCGGGGTCTTCTTCGGGGCTTCGTCTTCGGAGGAATCTTCGCTGCTAGAGGCCGGCTTCTTGGTCACTGGAGTCTTGGCCGTGGCGTCAGCTTTGGCAGGAGCCTTCTTTGCCGGGGCTTCATCATCCGAGGAGTCGTCACTGCTTGAGGCGGGCTTCTTCGTGACTGGAGTCTTGACGGCTGCAGCTGGCTTGACTGGAGTTTTCTTGGGGGCAGCGTCATCGTCAGAAGAATCCTCAGAAGACGAAGATTTGCCCTTGGTAGCTGTCGGCTGAAAATTTTTTTAATAAAACTGAACTTTAAACTGAAAACCGATTATCTCAATAGGAAAATCAAGGATTTACCTTGGCAGCGGCTGGCTTGGCAGAAGCCTTCTTTGCCCGGGCCTTCTCATCGTCGGAATCGGAATCGCTGCTGGAGGACGACTGCTTGCGCGCCGCCGGAGCCTTCGCCGCAGCAGCCTTGACCGGAAGTTTGTTCGCTGGAGCCTCGTCTTCGGAAGAAGATGGAATGCCATTGAGGCAGGCGGGCTGAAAAAAAAAACTTTTTGTAAAGCCCGGAAAACTGAAACTAGCCAAGGAGTAGTAGTCAAACGTACCCTGGGTGGAAGCGCGCGGGTAGTCACATCCTCGGATCCATCGTCGCTTGATTCGCTGTTTTTCGTGCCGGCGTTGGATAGCATCTTTTTGGGCGGCTCCTCGTCGGCTGATCCGGCAGGGCGCTTTCGGGCTTGACGGGCCATCGCATAGAGGTCGTTCGGCGAGGGCACATCGATCATCTTGGCCTAAAACAAAAACATAAAGGATCTAAGCGAATTATTTCGTTTACAATATCCCAAAAAAACCAACCCTGGCTTGAATCTTCTCGCGAACGGTGGCGCTGAACATCTTTTGCACGGCCTTCGGATCCTTCTTGCTGTAGTGCATGTAGACGACCGTGTCGAAATCGAGCCCGGGGTCATCTCCGAAGTTGCTCATTTTTACCTAAACAATGCTCATCATTTGTGCAACAACTGTACAAAAGAAAGCGAGCAATGCGGAAAACAAGGCGATCAGATTCTTGAAGACCTGAGACAAAAAGAGAACTCGTAATTGGAGAAGGGTAATAACAACGCAAATCATAGAAGTTTACAAAAGCACAATATGGAAAGGCGTAGAGAGAGCAGGCAAGACAAGTACAGATTAAGCCACTTCAAAGTTTTTCCGCTTCAGTCGTTTCTTTTTGCTGGTTTTCTTGACATGTCCCTTTTGCTGATTGGGCTTGGGTTCGTCGCGTGCCGCCACCTCGAGTTGCTTCTTGGCTACCCGCTCCTCTTTGAACAGCTTGTAGTTGACGTATTTACTCTTCTCCGGGGCGGCACCGAGGGCTATTGCCATTCGCTTCCTGGCAGCCGACTTTTCCTCTCCAACGAGCCCTTCCGCGACGACCAGCTTCTCCACTTCAAATTGCACCTTTTTCAACACGGGTGCCGCGGGCTCGACATTGGGCCGCTTCTTCTTCAGGATTTTCGGCGCAGCTTGTACGGGCACGAAATTGCGGTGGGTGTGGACCTCAACTTCAGCATTTTCGTGTCCTGATGCTGGGATATCCGGTAAGCTGTCCGCGAAGGTCGTAGGGGCCATTTTGTCGAGCAACTCGTCAAGTGTCTTCTTTTGTCGAACCTTGGAGCCAAAGAAGGCGTCGACTGGCGCTTCCCAATCATCCATGGCGGGGCGCTGAAAAAAAGGATAGTATTTACCACCGGAAAACGCAATAGAAAGATAGGTGAGAACAATAAAATGCATTGACAATAGGGGCAGCTTGGGATCACGGACAAACAAAGAGTGAAAAGGAAGTGACAGTTACATAAACCACTAATATAAGTTCTCGGAAAAGCCACATTCGGCTGAATCGCATTTACAGAAGATTTTCTTCTGACGCATCACTTCCCACCATCCAGAATTGTAGCTGATTGTCAATTCCTCGTCCCGGACGATGCGCTTGACAGCAAAGAGACAGATGTGCACGAGCGGATCTCCATTCCTTTCCACCTCATACGCGCAGACGTTTGGATCGCAGCTGTGGTTGATGAAACGGGTAATGTTGCCGAACTTTGTCGCATCGAGTAGAACATTCTTTCCGGCATAGGTTGCATCGTAGAGATGTTCACTGGATGACTCTTCGTATTTGACAACTTCGCCGGCGTATTCGGCGATGAAAGTACCGGGCTCGATCGTCTCCTTTGCGCGCAATCCCCAGCCGCAACGATACGTCTTGAAGACCTAAGAAAAAGGGTTAGACCGAAAAGCAACAAAGGCCCTGATAATCGAGAAAAGCAAGCTCTGGATAGAGAACAAAACATGGTAATTACCTCAAATTTTCGAAGAATGCCCTGCTGGGTAGGCCGACATTTTGCGCTTCCTTCCGGGCAAGAGCACGCCGGTCCACATTCTTTCAACGTCTTCTCGGTTGGGTCAAAGGGATGGTTATTAGGGCCGAGGCGGAGCGCGCCTTCTTTGAATTCAGATGACGGGCACGAGCATTGGTGACAGGCCGTTTTCGAAGTGCTCGGCGCCGCCGGCACGCAAATTCTGATCGCTTTGGCATAAGTGAAGGGCGGCGGTTTCGTGTAATCAACTGCATTGACGACCGGCACCGGGAATTTTTCCGATCCATTTGTTAGGTCTTCTACAACGGACATCTGCAAGGAAAATAGGATAAAGCAGGACAGCCATGACGAAACGAGAAAGCCAGAAGCAACGAGGGTCAGGTTAGAGCAGTTGGAGAAGCGATAGGCGTCAATGAAAAGTGATCTATAGGGTACAGAAAAAGATTTTGCCATCGCAAAAATTCGAAAAAATGAGGGCGAGAGCAGTGGGCAAGGGCTAAAAGGCAGCGTCTGCGCTCTAACCAGGGGCTACGATTGCCCTCCCAACAAAACGGACAAGCAATACCCAAATTTGGTAACGGGAAGTAAAAGCTTCTCTCTAGTTTTGCTTCAAAATTCCGAAAGTGGAAAAAGGTGGGGCCATCTTACATGGCCATACACCTGACGGATTCCGTTCGTTGCGGGATCCCGGAACCTATCTTTTTAGCTTTTTTTTCTTCTTATGCATCTCCTGTGACAGTTTTTTTAAAACTCGATTAAACTAGAAAAATTTACCCGGAGCGCCGTCAATCCCGGCCTCCTTTCAAGTTGCTCCACCTTGAAACCTCTCTATTGCTATTTTTCGCTTGGGGGTACCTTGTCCGACTTTTCTGAATACCTTTTAGCTAGGAGAAGCATTCCGGAAGCGTTGTTACGCCGTTTAGAGCTTCCGCGGTGTATTTAATACGTGCAAGCCAACCAGGCCAAATCGCTGTATATCTTAGCCTGTCTTTTCAACAAGTGCTCTGTCCCGAATTCTCAAGTCTTTAGCTAAGAAAAGCATCTCCTGAAGCGTTCTGTCTAGAGCTTAACGGTATCTTTGATGTATGTGGATAACCCGTTCTGAAACCAGCTTGTCCTCTTCAGATATTGCTAGGAGCCACAACTGTATATTCAATTCATGCAAATCAATCCTTGTGTGCAACCATATATTTTCAAAAAGCTTTATTCATTGAGAAGCGGTAGCGATCTAGGGGTTGTACTCGATGGGGAGGTTCTTCCTGCGGACCATGCCGTCGCCCTGGAACCACTCGCGGCGGAACTGCTTGGCGGCGCCGTCGGGGGTGTTGGTCCACTCGATGGTGACACGGTCGTTATTGGTGTCCTCAGCGCCGAACTGGAAGGAGTCGCACGACACGGCCACCTAGAAGAGTGGGGATAGAAGATGCATGCATCAGTTGCTAGCGGTTCAAAGAGTCCAAAAGCACTCACCAGAACCTGCTCCTTGGGGTCGAGGACACCGCACGGCGGGTCGACTCCGAGGCGCTTCATGTTGGTGGTCTTGAAGGCCCATCCGATGCGGCGGCCGCCAGAGTTGATCACCTTGATGTGGTAGGTGTGCTTGTCATCGTAGGGGGCGTTGAAGACAATCTTCGTGCCGGGCTGGGTGGTGATGTCACCGGGAGCGACGGATTGGGCCATCTTCGAGGTTGAAGTTTGGGGTGCTGTTGGAAGTGGCTCAGCTTGTTTTATACGCGGGAACGCATGTAAATTGGGTGATGGAGAATAGGGATTTCCGGATTTTGGGTGTTTTATGCTGATTTCCGATTCGGTTATTTTCCAGGGGTAGCTAAAAGGGCCTGATTTTAACCTGGGAGCAGCTTATTTTCAAGAGACTTCCTACTCTTCTACCATCTTTCCCTTGCCATTTGGTCGGTCAGGGCCCCTTTAAGAGGGTCGTTGGTTTTTTAGGGTTTCCTCTACCCTGCTTCACAAATTGAGGGCATCTGAAGCCCCTCTCTTATCCTTTCAGCCCGCCGGCACATCCAGCCTCCCTATGATCATCGCCCCTTTCGTGCCGCCCAGAGCCGACCCCCTGGGGTGGGGGTTCCCTTTAGTGCCCCTACGGAACGCACCAATCCAACTGACGGGGGTCACCTTGTCCCCGATTTGAAAAACGCTCCAGGGGAATAACCAAATACAGCCCCTAAAAGGGCCGCGCTTCCGTCCCGGTATCAGGCGGTCAGGGGATCTTGATAAGCTAGAAATAGTGCCAAGATATCCTCATCTTTTATCGATCGATTTCCGGGGCAGAAACTCTTTGAATTTGATTTCCTTGATTCTTTTTCTGATTCTCTTTTCTCAGCGTTGATTTTTGCGATATTTTTAATCGGTACATTTTCAGACGGGTAGATGCCCAGGCAACGCTCGGGAACGCCTGGAAGCTCGGGCTCGTTGAAGGAGAATAGCCAGCCGGCTGCAAGGGCTCCGGAACGAAGTAGCCCCAGAAAGGTAGATTTTGATAGTTTACGACATTTTGCGGTTGGAATTGAGCGTGTAGTGGAAAATTGTGAATTTCGGGGCAAGTCACTTTTTTACACTGCGCTCTTTCGTAGGGAGCCTCAAAATATTTCTTTTTTTTCCAGCACGATATCGATGCTAGGGCTGTGGCCGCGCAGCTTGGCCGAACGTCGGCAAGCCCTACAAGTAAGACCGAGTTTTACATCTCTGATTGGTTTTTAGAGTTGACCTCTGCCGCTAAGAACAAGAACAACGAGGCCCAGCCCAATGCCGCAGCGACATCATCGTGTTCAGAAGCCGCATCGCAGCCGAGGAAGCGGGGACGGCCGAGCCTGCCGGCAACGGCACAATCAAGCGCTGCAGCGACGAGCAAAAAGAAGTCGACCCGCCCCAGCCTTCAGGAGGCGCCAAACGTTGATAAAGGTAATTTCGAGGCATTTTGCTATTTCAATCTGTCTAGAAAAATACCTTGGTAAGTGCTTTGAACTCATTGGTCGCCCAATCAGAAACTCAAATCCTTAGCAAGTAAAGCGAATTCATAGCTCGCAAGGCTTCCCTAGCTCTTTCTCGCCAAAAAATGCTAAAAATTTGTAATAAGCTGTCCATGGTTCTTTTTCAGCGGGCCTATCCCAAAGTGCGAAGAGTTCGTACTCAGTTACGAAAAATAGGTCCTCTTTTCCCCTTATGAAATTTCCGTCCAATCTCTGCCTTCTACCACTTTTCTGCGAGGAATAGAGTATACAATATTTGTTTTTAGAATTGACCTCCGCTGCTAACAACAGGAACAACGAGGCTCAGTCCAATGCTGCAGCGACATCAGCATCAAGTGCGCAAGGCCCTTCGCAGCCAAGGAAACGGGGACGGCCGAGCCTGCCGGGAACGGCACAATCAAGCACTGCAGCGACGGACAAAAAGAAGTCGGGCCGCCTCAGCCTGCAGGAGCCGCCAAACGTTGATAAAGGTAATTTCGAGGCATTTGTGGTATTTTACTGTCCGTAGATTCGAACGGTCGCCCTCATTTGCGAAGCGGCGATGTCCGACATCGCAGTGGAAGCGGTGTGAGCGCGCCGATTTTTGAACTCTCTGGTAAGCCGCTCACGATTTTCCATATTTATTGTGTTTTTTTTACAGAGAGCGTCTCGCCAGTACGAGATCGCACGAAACGACGCAGTAATGGCTCAACTCCACCCACCATCAGCCGCTTCACTTTGGCGAAGAGACGGGCCAATTCAACGAGAAAGGCGATTCCGCAAGGAATTTCAGCTTTCTCTATAGTCGGTACGATTTTGAAAACTTTCTTCATTGTTTTTTTTTGCAGATACTTGGGCCAGGCTAAGCAAGGACGAGCCGAAAAGAAAGACCCATCTGGTGCTGCGAGACCATTCATTGGCTCTGGTTCGTGGATTGACTTTTTTGCTTGAGATTTCGATTTTTTTTTAGCAGCCGTTGAGGAAGAGAACGAAAGACTGGGTACACGACGTTGCAGCACGTTTAAAGGTAAACAGTCTTTTCGAACAAATCTTATTTCTAATTTTAGGCCACGGCCGACAGGACGGTCCTTTGGGCTGATGTGGCAGCAGGGCCGAATATACGCTTACATGGTATTTTTTGTTCATTTTGGCTTTTGTACTGAAGGTTTTTTATTTACTTCGATTCGACTCTATTCATTACTTTTAGCCGACATCATGTACATCAAGATGCAAGTCGCCAAATTCTACAAGGACGGCGCGCACCACCTCGAGGATCGCGGCCGCTGCTATCTCGACGTCACAAACAAGATCAAACAAGAGATCGACTTCTCCTTCGATGAAGATGAGCTGGCTCGTCTGAGGTAATCGTCTCGCTGTCTTTGAAGTTGCTAGATTCATTACCTCGCAGTTTTGGGAGGTTGATTTATATCCGCTTTATGAAAAATCTGCCGTGAAGTCCTTCAATAATGGTCTGAAAATTGCGATATTTGAAAAAGAGTTCTCAGGTTACTATAATTCCTTTATTTTAGCTCCGCCTTTTTCGTCGTCACCGCGCGCTACAAATGTCTGAGGAGCGAAGAGCGAAAAACCGACGCCGGCTGCTACCAGCTGATGAAGACCAGCGGCGTGCTCGAGGTCGGCCGAAAAATCGGCAACCCAATCGTGCTATTGTGGGTTTTTCTTTACTTTTTAATAATTTTTGTTAAGCGATGCCAAGAAGCACCCCGGATATGCGAGCTCGTCGGAGACGTTGACAAGAATGTGCGCCACGACTAGAAAGGTAAATTTTCCTGTTTTTGTAGTTTTTTTGAAGACTAGTATGAAATAAAGATCGAATTAAACTCCTTTTTCCAGCTGGATTCGAGCGCGCCGGACTATCGCAGTCTCACCGTCGCCATCGAAAAGTTGAAACCCCGGCAGCCGCAAGACGCGATTCCGCCGCGGGCTGATGGCACTGGAGAGCAATCGCCGCTCAGGTCAGTTCACTTATTCATTAAAATACCGTTTATTTTTAGTTATTACTGGCTCGACGACGGCGTGAAGCGTAGTCTGGCCGCTGAGGTGCCGTTCGGCATGCCGTTTCCCGGAATGACGAAACGGAGCTTCGTCTCCGTCGACGACCTTCTGGAATACCTGAACTCTACGACGGTGTTGTCATTTCAACGTGAAGAGGTGCGTTTGTTATTTTTTAAACTTTTGTTGCTTATTATTATTTCTATGCCAATTTTATTGTTCCAATTTCAGGACGAGTCGAGTAACATCATCGTGGGCCCGGCGACGTTCGTGTTGCCCAAAGTGCCAGAAGCGCCTCTTCACAACGTCCGCACGACCGGCGGTATTTCCGTTTTTTATTGTCAGCATTTTTCCGTTTAGAATACATCACCGTCCGGCCATACCCATTCCAACGAGTCAAGCGCTGCGACGGCGATCGGCACACTCTCCCGTTGGGCCTTGACGAGTCCTGCTATATTCGCGAGTACGAGGTATGATTTTTACTTCTTGATGGGCTTTTGTAACCGTTTTTCTCTTTCTGCGACAGTTTTTACCCTAATTTGCTTTAGGAAATGGAAGATGACGTTGACCGCCGTCGTCCAGCGCCGCCCGGTGAAGCGCAGTTCCTCAGCTTGTGGAACTACGCCCTCCGCCACCACAACCGATCGGTCGTCGACTCAACCGAGGGCTTCAGGCTATTGGTGTGTTTTTTTAGAATTTGAAATTTTGGCACATGGCATTTACTACTTTATGAATTTTCAAAGACAATTTTGTAACGTTTTTACGCTAGAAAAATTAAGGACATGAATTTTTATTTGAATTCATAACTTTTTTTGTTTCAGCGCCACTTCCACAGCGAATACGTGCCGTTGCTGGACGCTTCGGGTCAAGATTTTTGGGCGATGCACCTTGACGAGTGCGAGGTTTGAGAGTTTTACCTAGATTATTGGGTATTTTTTACAGAAAGCCAAACTCATCGGCGCGATGGAGCGGATGGCGCTGTTCTCGGGCGACTTCAGCGTCTGCGACAAGTTCGAGCAGGACCGGGCGCGCGCCGTGCAGGATGACTTTGCTGAGGTAATTTTGGAGTTTGGTTTTATTTACTTCGTTTTCTTTAGGAGGGGCCGACGGTTGAGATCGGCGAGGAATCTGAAGGCGAACAAGACAATGAACCGCCGGTAAATTTTTGTTTGTTTTTCCCCGATAAATCCAGATATGTTTAGTATTGTAAGGGAAAATACTATGATAGTTTTTAAGTAAGCTTCTTACAAATGGCAAGTAATTTATGAAACGTCTTAAAATTTGAAAATTCGGTCAGGAATCTAAATTTGCCATTCAAAATTTGTAGAATTAACTTTTCCGCTGCTTTTCTTTTTTGATAGCTTTCCTACATTTACTAGATAAAGATTTGACTTGACTTTTAGAAAAAGTCAAGGAGGCGCGTCCGCACAACAACTTCTTCGTCGACAGCCGGCTCCAAGCCTCTCAAGCGGAAGCGGCGAACAAGTCAAGGCGGCCCTCAGGTTTGATTGGTTTTTTTAAATATTTGAAATTTTTTACAGGAAGCCTGCCCGGCGGCTTCGTCAAGCCGTGCGCCGTCCCGCGTGAAGAGCGCCAGGAAGCACGCGGCCGGCCCCGATGACACCCCGCTGAGCCCGTCGCGAATTGGTCAAACAAGAATGGCGAAGCGCATCGTAGACGAGGTCAAGAAGATGGCGC